ATATATATATATATATATATATAATATGATTAAAATTTTGTTTTTTTAAGTAGTTAAACAAAAACAAATTCAGTCTTCTAAATATGTCTCGGGAAGTGAAATCGCTACTTCTAATCTAAGTGCCATTTTACGATGTTTGATTAATTAACGTTTTAAATGTTGATGTTTAGTAACACTTAAGAAAAGTGTTGAAAATACTTAACGAAACTATATTAAATTTGAGTATTTAAGATACTTTGGTTACTCGTTAATTTTAGAATAAAGATGGTTAAAAGTTTTTAACGCGTATGTTTTTCACGGTAATATTTTTTTAATCAATTTATTTATTGTATCACTTGTTTTACTGTACGGCAATTTGTTTTCTTGTAAAACTAATTACTTTAAGAAATAGATTTTATTTTTTGAATTTTCTCCCACGTTCCCAGCGCGTCAGATAATTTCAAATTTGTTGACTCTCTGAGTCTGACCATCTGTGCATGCTTTTCAATGAAGTACTAATAATGTTAATTTTAATTTTAATTTCTCATAGAAATGGAATTTCCCCCACACTGGTTTTCTGGGGAAACAAACCCTAGTCAAATATTATTGCTTCATTTTCAACGCTGTTTCTTTTTTTCTTAAATTTTTCACCTATCCAAAGCATCCTGTTCCCTGTCACAACACACAACACCCTTGCCCTGCCTCTTTCCAATGAAAGTTAATTCCATCGTTTAGATCATGTCTAACAACTCAAAACTGAAACATTTTTTTCCTTAAAATATCATTTATGTATTTATTCTCATATTTAACATTATTTTTTAATTTTTAATAATAAAAATAAAAATTTTATTATTTTCTTTCTTTTTAGTTTGTGTTAAAACTTTGGTACATGTTATTAAGAACTCGGCAATTTTGGGTTCCGCCGACTAATCTCTGCAGGATCCCAATTGTAAACGTTAGCAAGACTGGATAGGAATATAAAATTAAAAAATAAAAATTGTAACTTGTAAAATCCTCTCTCTATGTAAATATTCTTTTGGAATTTTTAGAAGTGTGAAATATCATTTTAATCTTAAAATTATTTTGTTCTGAAAGATAAAAATTAACACGAGATTTTATTTTATACTATTATCTATTTTAATGTTATGGCTGTTGAGTGTTGACTGCCATATGTATTCACATTCACATCACGTGGTCGCTGCAATTTTCTTGTGTTGAGTCACTTTTGTGTTGTGGGGTGTGTTCTGTTCTGCTTTCTGTCGTGTACTTTGGTTGTGTTGTATGCTTATGTGTGATTTGGATCCTCAAGAAAATGTTGCAGTGAGACTAGAGTGGTAGCATGGTACCAAAGTTTTAGCTCAAGTAAACACTTATTTATGTTCTTTAATTAAATAATGAGGTTTGATCCAAGTTTAGATATAAAATCTCAACTGAAAGAATCACTTTATATCTTAACAACCTGACATCATGAAAAGAAGCTATATATATATATCATTTAAACAATTTAATTCATAGTATTTAAATATAAAAAAAGGTTTCAGTGTAATTAAATCTTATAAAACTAAATTCTAAGAAGATGATCACTCTTATTTATATACACTGTTAAAGTCATGTCATTAGTGGAATTTTAATGTCTAGTAACCTTGTTTTGGGATTTTAGTGTGTGACAACACAAAGGCTAAGGGCAAGAAAGTTTCTGACTTCTGAGTAGTGGAAAAGGGTAATTTTTGGGAGTGTGAATATAAGTGAGCCCCACACATTTGGTGAGTTACGATACTTTCCTTTCTGGTGACCAAAGTAGAATGTCCCTTTGTACCCAAAAATAACACCAAAGATGAAGTGGCCCTGCGCCAACCCATAATCAAACATGTTTCATAGATCATGGACCTAAGTTTTGATCGTTAGTAAGAATGACAATGGGGTGGATATAAGTTTCTAGATTTTCGTTAAATTTTTAATATGTTACATTAAGTTTTATTTAAAATAGAATAAAAATTATGTAAATGTCAAATAATTTTTTTTAAAAATAAAATAAAATTTATAAATATTTAAAATAAATATAAATATGAATACTAAATGAATATATATATATATATATACATATTATTTTGTATCTGATTCAATAAATTAAATATTACTCATACTTTTATATATATATATATATATATGTATATATGATCGCATAAAATATTTTTTATTAAATCAAACAAATTTCTAACATTATAGTCATCATCCCTATTCGTTAGGCTTCCTATATATCACTTAATGCGAGTAACAGTAGTCACGCGCAAGTTGGTAACAACTGTTTTTGCTAAATTGTCATAGTATGATGGGAGAGAACATACGTTATAGAATAATTAATGTCATTTTTTTAGAATTGAAAAACTGAGCTATGTATTACATGGAGATCAATAGGATCATGATATCATGGATCATGTCATAGTTTCTTGGTATGGGGGTGCATTCATCGATATGTGTTAAACTTGTGTTTCCGTGGGTTTGACAAATGCAAAGCCGAAAGTGAAAGGCCATGCTTTCGTGGGGTTAAAGTTAAAAGTGAATTTTTACACCTTCACGTGAGGGGAAGCTACTTTTGTTAAGAGCACACGAAGCAGCAGTTATAAGCTGTAAGGTTTTGTTTGTGGGACATTAAGGCTACAATATTCGTTGAACTTAAAATTTTCACCTTTTGCCGTCCTACCATGGTGGGGCATGCGACATAGGAAGCTTCAATGAATATAAAGGAGCATCAATAATGGATGGCTTTCCACTGTGTATTTATGTTTACTAATGATTACGCCCATCAACCTCAACCCCCTCCCCCTCTTTCTCATGTCTTTAATATTCTGCACCTTTCTGACATTCCATACTTATCTACTTCCCATTTTTATGCTATCCTCTTAAGGGTATGCTTATTTTATTACAAGTTTAATTAAAACATCATTTTAAAGTAATAATTAAGTTTAATATGGTCAGAGTTTCATCTAATGTATATTTATATTTGATATAAACTTTTAATAATATACATTTACGTTTAATATAAAGTGAAAATCTAATTCTAGTTAAATGTTATAACCACCAAGTCATTTGATATTTTACTTTTAGGTTTTTCCAAATTGAATGTCGAATTTTATATGGATTTTTAATTTTTAGTGATATTTTTTTTTATATGAATTTGGAAGGCAAGGAGGGCATTGAGAGCACTTAAAGCATTGGTGAAGTTGCAAGCATTGGTAAGGGGGCACATTGTAAGAAAGCAAACTGCGGATATGCTAAGGCGCATGCAAACTTTGGTGCGACTGCAGTCCCGGGCACGTGCAACTCGTGTGAACTTGTCAGATAACATGCATTCTTTCAAGTCTTCACTTTCTCATTACCCTGTAAGCAAAGCGAACATATATATATGTATATACACTGTGTATTTATGTTAACTATGCGATGGCATGAGCATCTCACTTTCTTTAAACGTGTTATCTTTATTAATGTACTTTTCCTTTTTCTATGATTCTATCACCCCACCAAATGTTGAAATTAGTAATCTGCTACACAATAACTTTCCACCCTGTACAAAACAGCTTGTTTCAAATTAAGCATTCTTCCTTAGATAGTATTTAGGTTGGGTCATGCCATTGTGGTAATCATTAAAGATGTGACATATCAATTAGCGTGCCTTAAAAGATTGGTGATGATCGGTATTTTGTTTATTACCATCAAAAGAATGGATCATAATAACCATTAATCTTTTCTTTGAACTTTTTTTGGAATGATTGTAGGTCCCTGAAGATTATGAGCACTCACTTCGTGCCTATAGTACGAAATATGATGGATCTTCTATTCTCAAGGTACGCACAGTTCTTCACCATAAATTAGATTAAAGGAACTAAATATGATTTGAATGAAAATAGTATATATGTGCTTTGAAACATTTTCATTGTCTTCAACCGTATTACTCCAAACAAAACAAGCTTGTTATGCTGCTTAGTTATGACCCTTGGATTTTCAACTTGCAGAGATGTAGTTCCAATGCAAATTTTAGGGACATTGACTTGGAGAAAAGCCGGTTTGGTTCTCATTGGTTAGACAGTTGGATGGAAGAAAATTCTTGGAGCCAAGCTAGAGATGCATCACTGAAAAAAGGGCACGCTGATGATGAGAAGAGTGACAAGATTCTTGAAGTAGATACTTGGAAGCCACACTTGAACTCACACCATAGTAGTGGCTCCTCATTTCAGACAACATCACATCATCATTTGTCTTCAGATTACAACAATGACAATTTTTTGGCATATGAGTCTCCATCAAAACGTTCTTCCAAGGCTCTAAATCCAAGCCTCTCTTCTAGGGAGGTTCTACCCTTTGGCACTCTGAAACTTCACAAAGGAAAAGAAGAAGCTTTGAGAAATGTTGAGGATAGTCCTCAAACATTTTCTGCCTCATCTAGGCTTGGAAGTGATTCAAGGAGAGGTCCATTCACACCAACAAAGAGTGAGTGTGGATGGAGTTTGTTCAGTGGCTACTCTGGTCATCCCAATTACATGGCAAATACTGAATCTTCAAGAGCCAAGGCTAGGTCACATAGTGCTCCAAGGCAAAGAATGGAGTTTGAGAGATACGGTTCCACAAGAAGGTCTCTTCAGGGTCTTTGGGAAGTAGGGCCTAGTTCAGATAGGGATTCTGATTTTAAGAGCAAGGCCTATGCCACCACAAGCAGCTTGAACAGAAATGGTAGTGCCAATTTAAGGTGACATCACAAGATTTGTGAATGAAGACAATTGAGGTCCCTTTTATTTTCCCAAAAAAGAAAAGGAAAAGAAAAAATGAAGACGCATTGGCTTCCTTTGCTTGGTTTTTCTGTGTATGACAGCAGTTTTAGGATGTAAGTATTTGACCTGTATTACTATATAGTCTTTGTCCCCACACGATCAAAGGCCACCTTGTTGACTCATGATTGGGTTTCACTTAATTTTGTTATTATGTTTAAATATTACATGTTTTGAATGTTTTTACTTATTTTTGTTATGTTGAAATATAATGTTTTGAATGTTTTCATTAATTCAAAGCTGGTTATGATTGGGATTCATCACATCACAAGCTACTTAACATTAAACTAGTCCCTTCCCTCGGAAATATCGATGATTATAAAATAAGGATAATGTTATATGAACAGAATTGTAAAATAAGATACATGCTTGACATGTATTAACAATGATGTGCATAGTTAGAAGAATTTTGTACGCACAAGTGATGTTTATATTACAAAGTTCCAAATTCTTTTAATAACTAAAATATAAGCAAACTACTATGCGGGTTTCTTCTACATAAAAACTCGATAAAACTATGTATTTTTTCAATCAATATTTTTATCGTTTAGCAATAAAGCATTAATCCAATGTGGTGAAGAACTGCAAGTTTTAGCAAAATGATCTTTTCAAATTCATTTCGAAATTCCCACTTAACATGCGTGTTAATAAACACTATCCACTTTTACCTGTAGTGTGTTGCAGATCTCTGCAATTTTTTGTAGCCTGCTAATCTAATGATAGCTATTACTTGCCAAATGATAAGGTGGTTAAACAATGATGAACCTGTCGTATTCATGAAAGCTTTTAATTTGGGACAGGTGAACTACCAAATCCTGAATTTATATCTTGTGCTCATGTCCTGTTAATTTTCTTGCAAGAACAATCTTGTTGAATAAAGAAAAGAGACAAAACCATATTAATGAAACTTTCATTTTCAATAGGGCCAGTCTTATTCATTAGAGAACTCCACTATCGTAAAATTGTTTGGATTTTTTGCTTTGATTTTTCTTGATTAGTCTATGCCAACCAGTAATCTTTCCTTCCAAATGAACTGCATAAAGGAGTTCGGAGAATTTTCCTCAAATAGCTGCAGTCATTTTCTCCGATTTGACCTCCCACTGCCATTAAATGTACATGTTTGTATCCGTTCTCGTATCAAAATAAGCAATATTGGTGCATAAAAGTACATTATTTTTGTGTGAACAAAAAATCATGTGTGAAGATATTGTGAGCTGATATATATACAACATGGTGTACCATGGTTGTTAGATAACTCTACAACATATAGTTAAAAGTTTGATCTTTACATATATGTGTATAGAAAAATATCTATTGTGAGATCAATCATTTAAATAGAACTTGTTAGTTTGAGTGATTAGTCATTCGCTCAAAGTCAAAGAATATCTAATTTTACACAAAAATACTATATATAAACATTTAGTAAATATGAGGTGTGAGGTTGTTCCACTTAATTAGTAATTTTGATTTTGAGTTCTGAGTATAAAATTATATTAAATACTCAAAAAGAGATTTTGATTGCCAAAAATGATCATGACCAACTTGATAGATTTAAAACATAATGTAACATGATTAATAGATAACTTGTAACATGATTAATAGATAACTTTGTAGCATATGATTAAGGGTTTAATCCTTATGTTTGTATGTATAGAAAAATATCAATTAAAAAAGATTAATTATTTAAATAAATCCTAGTAATTCGAGTGATTAGTCATTCATCATTGTCAAATAATATTTTTAATTCACATAAAAATACCATAAATAACTGGTAAATATGTGGTATAGTTTGAATTTGAGTCTTGAATATACAATGTGTCAAATACTATGAGAGAAAACTTTATTCTCCATAATGATCCTACCTAACTTGAACATGATTACTTCGAGGGAAAATACATGTTGTTTATAGTAAGAGATGATATGATATGTTTTGCTTAGTATTTTTATTTTTTATTTATCCATTGTTGCGAGTTCACCCCCGTTATATTTTTCCCACGTGAATTCAGGGAAACTATATATATCTTATCTTTCTTTATAGTTTAGCCTTTCGGTGGTCCTTTTTTAAAGATATGGACACCAAAGAAAAGGACAAAAGATTGCACACACGAAGTGACATATGAGACAGCATGACTCCCCTCCTTCCTTTGTTTTGTTCTGTTCAGTTTTGCTTTGTTGTGTTGTGTCTTTTGTTTCTCTTGTGACTATGAAAGGGCCTTGGATGCTCACCGTAGGCCATGCAGTTGAAGACAATCGATAATGAGAATGATTCAGAAGCAGTAGTTACTCCCATTAGATCCGGTTCTCTCTCTGTGATCCAGTTTTGGACCACACCATTCCAACCCAGACACACTTTTTCTCTTTCTGATATCACCTTTGTGTCAAATGGCAACTTAAAAATCAACTTTTCTATCTCACTACTTTTCTAAAGTATATATGGTGTCTTTCATTATGCCAAAATCATTAGCTTTTATCAATCACACCAAAGACTTGAATCACTTTGAAATGAACCGTTAAACTAATAGTTTAACAACCAGAAAAAGGTGTCACAAACTAGATCTTGTCTGAGCATAATTATTCACCTGAAATGAAAAATACAGATCAACGCATAAAAGTAACAGTAGAAAAGAAAAAGAAAAAAGTTTATGATGGGGTCATTTAATCATGAATTAGCTGATTTGTTTTTTCACCTGTCGTGAACATGTAGTACCACGAGAAAGCAGCAGTATAAACGATCAAAGAGGATAGGTGGATCATATAATATATAGTACTATTGATGGTGTGACATATACATGTACCTAAAAAAATAAAAGAGGTACAAACATTTGGAAAGTTTCATGGCGTCATCATTAATAATTTGATTAAATGATACACATACCTCGTCAAAAATCTACGTGCATGCACGAGGGGCATTCAAGGATGGGTAAGATCATAGTTTACCGATCCAACAACCACCAAACATAATAATTAAGTACAAAAGTGGGCCATTGTAGTGCCAAGATGAATTGAGGGGTTTTGGAATAATTTGTAGGATATGAGAAATGTTAGCCACCATTTTTGTGAATATTCTTTTTATTATTAATTTAAAATTATAGATTTAATAAATTTTACTACTAAATTAAGAGTGATTCATTAAATGATATAAGAGATTTTTAAACATATTAAATCTAATAAATTTCGATCTATAATTATAAAAGTATTAAACAGAATATTGTCATATGACAAATAAAATGGAATAGAGTTGATGGTTGAGTTTGGTGCTTAGAATTTTAATGTGTGGCTACTTGTCAGATGATTTAAACATGGCAGTTTATCGAATGATTAATTGTTGTCCATCAACTCTCAAGAAAAGTAAAAATGGGTTTGAACTGGAATTGAATGTGTCATAAAGAATATGCAAACTTTTGAAACTCAAAATATATAGAACTTTTTGGCATTAAAAACGGTTGTCCTCTTTTTCTCTACTCTAACTCTTATACTTAAACCAAGTGGATATAAATTCCTCAATTGCGCAGGTGTCGATAACCTCTAAATTCAATGAATAATGAAGCACAAAAAAGCATGAGATCACACGACCAATAGTAGCTCTTAATTTCATGATATGGATATATTTTGCAAAAATTTAGTTGATAAACTAGTTGAAAGCCAAAAAAACAAAAAAAAGTTAAAGGATTATATCTATTAAGCTAACTTATTGAGTTATAAGTATTCGAAAACTTATTTGTTAAAATAACTGGAAAATATAAAATAACAAAAATAGACATATTTATATATATATATATATATATATATATATATTTATTTATTTATTTAAATTTTGTTTTTTTAGTTTAAAAAATTGTTGATATTCAAAAACAGAGAAATTTTAAGGAATTATTTTGAAGGATAAATTTTGTGAGTTATTTTTTTTTTCAGAGTTTACATATAATTCACTCATCCAATTATTTTACTAAAACCTTTGAAATTTAGCATGATTTTTCTTTCTCTTACTCCCCCCTCTCATGTTTTTTTTATCTCATATTCTCTTTTCTTTTTTTCATCTATTGTTTATTTATTCTTCTTCTTCTTCTTCTTTTTTGGTACATTTACATTTTTTTTATCTTTTTCTTTTCCTTCTCTTTCTTCTTCTAGTTAGAATTAATTATTTATTAGAAGATTGAAAATTTATTGACTTTATTTTCTTTACTCAAATATTGTCATTTATATTTTTTTATTAATCTTATTTTTTTTAAAAAAATATCATATCGTCTTGTGATGTGAAATTTAATAAAATCCTTTCAGATTTTATAAATTCTTGTTATTTCTTGAAATACAAATTTGTTAAAATCTATCTCACAAAATCTTGATGAAAAAAATCTTCAAAATCACTACATTTTTACAAAGTGTTTTGAAAAAGATCTTAAAAGTCATTAAATTTCAATAAAGTTTTTTAAAATCTACAAATTAAAATCATTTTGTGCTATTTTTTTTTATATATAATTTAAATTCAATGCACCCCTAAAAGTTGTTAGTATTTCATTTTGATATTACACAATATTGACAAATAAAGAGTAAAAAGTCAAAAGAGACTCTAAAGTCATAGAGAAAAAGGATAAAAAAGGTGAGTTTTACTATAGTAGATAAAGAGGATATAAATTTATATGCGCTTTATATAAAATAATAACAGTGTCAAAGTTGCCTTAATTAATTGAGAAGAATTATAAAAATAAATATCTTAACTTTTGAAGAGAAAAAAAAAGTATTATTATAGAAAAGAAGGTTGTTGTCACATACATATTATTTTTTCTTACCCTAAATCTATAGTTTATTTTTCATTTCTTAAATCTCAAAAATATATTAGTATATTAATTATAGTAATAAAGTTTATTAAAGAAAAATTATAACAATCAAGATAATTATAACAAATGTATCCTGATTAAATTAATTTATTAAATCACCATGTTTATTAATTTAATCAAGATAATGAAGGTCGCCTATATTCTTAAGATATGGAAAAGAGGCCCTTGACTACCCTTCTGATGCATGTACGCTAGTAATGGGCTGCACAATGGAAAGCAAAGTATTACCCCCGCCCCCCCACCCCCCAAAGACTCAAGGCTGATGATATATATACCTCCATTTTTTTATACATACACTTCCTTTTAAAGAAAAATATTAAAATCCTAAATTATCTTTAATATTATTTGAAATAAAAAAAAATTATCCTGGAAAATTTTTTTTGGAGGTGTATTTGTACATAATTATGGAAAGTTCTTTCTCGAATACTAAAATTACTATTCGGAAATAACTTTCAGTCGGAATAATTCTGGAAAGTACTTTCCGTAACACTAAAATTACTATTGCGGAAAGTTCTTTCCGGAATTATGGTAACAAATACACACACTGTTAATATTCCGAAAAGAATTTTTCACAATAGTAATTCTAGTGTTACGGAAAGTATTTTCCATAATTATTTTGACAAAAAGTTATTTCTGGAATAGTAATTTTAGTATTCTGGAAAGTACTTTCCGTTATTCTGACGGAAAGTTCTTTTCGGAAGGCTCATGATATATACACCTCTTGTTTTTTTTTATAAGTACACCTTCTTTATTTTTTTAAAAAAATTATAAAATATTATATATATATTTTTTAATTTTATACTTTTAACTTTCAATTTTCTACTTTTTTCTTTTTTTTCACACACTTTTTTTTTTTCTCTTTCAATTTTTACATGCTACCAAAATAGGTAGGGTGAAGGAAAGATAACGGGGTGCATGTAAAAATTGAAAAAAGAAAGAAAGAAGAAAAAAGAAAGATCCGTAAAAAAAAGTACTAAATTAAATGTTGTGAATGTAAAATTAAAAAAAAAAGCAAAAAATTAAGAATATTTTAAAATTTTAATTATTTTTTTTTGAAAAGGAGGTGTACTTATAGAAAAAAGGAAATGTATATATCATCAACCTTTGAAAAACACTTTCCAGAATAATTTTTTTTATTCCAAATAATATTAAGGATGATTTAGGAATTTAATATTTTCTTAAAAAAAAGGGGTGTATGTATAAAAAAATGGAGGTGTATATATCATCAACCAAGACTCAAAGCTCCATGCAATAATTTGGGCTCTACTTTTTACAAGCCCAAATATGATTCTATACTCTTAAGAAAACAAAATTTGGGCATAGCCCAGTAATAAAAAAAAATATGATTCTAGATTTTAAAATATACTATTTAATACTGAGTAATTATATTTTTTTAATACTATTAATAATATTATCCTAATTCCTAGATTTCTTCAATCAAATTTTACAAATAATATTTGCCACAGAAATATATATATATATATATATATATATTTTTTTTTATTTATTTGTCAAGTTCAAAATTTTCTAGAAATGAAACTCGAAGTGTCACATCATTCATTATTAAATTAGTTGCTCACTATTTTTTTTGTGATGAATTTATTTTGATTGTAGTTTTTCAACATTAAAAAATAAGAATTGTAGCGAAAATTTAATGAGGTGAAAGGTGATTTGATTGTCGACATAATTATTATGTCTTCGTTTAATGAAATTACTTAATAATAAAGACTAACAGTGTGTTTGGTTTATTGTTTAAACTCACCAAACTTACGTTGAACGGAGAAGTTACAAAATGTTACTTCCTATTTTAGTGCATTGGAAAGAGGGAATTTCAATTTGCAAATGTGCAAATGGATATCTAAACATGCACTAAAAATGTTAAAAGAAGAAAATTTTAAAAAGTAAAACAAGTAAAAGTTTTATTTAAGCACTATAACTGAAAATAAAAATAAATTAAAAAATTATAAACATATTTAATCATTTTCAATTAAGTTCTTAGTTAATGTGAAAACTCAAATTAAATATGTGAAAACCAAATGTTTGTTGCCAAATGAATAATCGCAACTTATAACCATATGCAAGTGACTATGGATGGTTGACGGTCCCATCGAAAAACTCTCATCTTTCTTAATCTTCAAAGAATATAATCGTTTAAATGATTAAAACCGAACATGTAAGTACATCAAATGAAAGTGGTAAAAGAATTATTGAAGTTCATAGAAGAGCCCGTGAAGGAGTTGGGAACAAAAATCAACTCCAAAACTTTCTTGTGGGGTCATCTTCAAGGCCTCAACATTTGGATGATAAAGGATAATCATTTCATGCACATGGTGGCTATAAACATGGCCACTTTCACCCATACATAAGTTGGCAAAAGCCTTTGTTGCCTTTTCATTGAAGATTGCACAATAAAGAACATTTTTAATGGCCCTTTTTTCTCCTCTCAAATAATTCTTACTCAACAACTCATTATTTATGAAATATCTCATATCAACTAATAATATAAATGTGTATATAAGTAAAACTAATCTTTATCTTTTAAACTGTTTTTATAAGATTAATTTGATTCAAATTCAGTTTTGTGAGGAACCCTTTTTTTTTTTTTTAACTTTTTCTAATCTTTTCAACATTACACCGTTAAAAACTCTTCTTCTTGAGTTGGTTAGAGTAGTTAAAAATATAATTATTATTCATTTCAATTTTTTACTTAGAATAATTCATGAACCTTGACAATACTCACCTCTAACTTTATAGGATGTTTTTAACTTCAAACAAAATTGAAAAAATTAAATTGTAAAATTGAGAACAATTGTGAAAGAATGATACCATCCATAACTTATCTTGCAGTTAGTAACGACAAAATGTCTATTTGTGCAGTGCAGAATTATACGAATAAATTTAAGATATTGTTTGACTAAATTTTGGGATAAATATTTATAGGCCTGAAAAACTAATAAAATAATTAAATTTTCATAAATTTGTTTTGGTATATAAATTTTCATAAATTAAAACTAACTAATATATAATCTAAATTACAAAAACCAAAATAAATTTGTTTTTCTTCATATTTCTCTATAAAAAGATATTTTAATTTGTGTATAATTTAATTTTAACTATTTTAAAAAATTAATTTCTTTTTTTCTATAAATATACGATATGTTGTTTATTCAAAGTTGAAACACTACTTGATTAAAATTAGGTTTAAATATGTTTTTAGTCTCTTAAATTTAAGATCAATTTATTTTTATTCTCTCAAATTTAAAATAGATATTTTTTGTTCATGTAATTAAAAAAAAAAAAAAACTTATTTTTGTCTTTATTATTCAAATTTTGTTAAAAAATTTGTCAAATATTGTTACATAAAATATATTTACTGATATCTCTGATATTTAAAATATTTCATTAAGCTCAACTGATTATATATAAATTTTCAAATATATTATTAATGACAAGAGAAACTAAAATAAAATTTTTAAAAATTATAAGAACTAAAAATAATAATTTTAAATTTAAAAAATTAAAAATAAATTTATCTTAAATTTGAGAAATTAAAATCAGTTACTCTTAAAATTATTATGTATACAAGAAGTTTGAGTACCGAGTTACCCTCCAGTAATAGTCTTTTAAAGACAATAATTTGGATTTTGGACCGTGTTTAATTCAATATGCCCATGTTACCAAGGTGAAAGAGAATCAAAGGAACAAGCACAATTTATTCAAGACGTGAGAAACTTCTATTACACCGTTAGATTTGTTATCCTTTTTTTTCATATTTTTTTGTCTCCCATTTACCAAATTTACCTGTTGGTACTGCCAGAACAGAAGTTGCATGATCACAAAGATCACGGGGAATAGATAAATTTGAAGTCCAAAATGAACTAGGCAACAGTTATTCAACGCACAATATGAATGGATAATGTAAATGAATTTTCATGTACAAAATAAATTTCTTTATATATGCATAATACACATAAATCCACAGTCAAATCAACGACTGATTTTAGACAGAAATTAACAAAAAAAAATTAACAGAACAAACGCAGATTGTAAGAGCTATTGCTATACATATAACAAGGAATATAGCTCGTGCCTCTTTTGTTTAATTGTCATTGCATTTCCATTTAGAAGTTGGAACACACGTTAGATAGTGACACCAATGGCAGTGATCATACCCACTCTCACCCCTAAATAGCATCACAAGAGCAATGCATAACCTGCAATTCAACAAATGAATTCATTGATTAGAGAACTGAGATCAGCTTCATTGTGATAACTAGATAAATGCGTAAGTTGAAGCCAAACTACAAACTCAACCAATACACTTCTTTAAAAGCAATTCTAAGAGAAAAAATAAGGAGAAAAAAAATGAAATAAACTTTTTCATAAGTTAAAAGTGGCTTATGTATAAGTTAATATATAAAAATTTTCTCTTGTTAACTTCTCCAAAATCTTACTTTTAACTTATGTATAAGTTAGTTTTAGTCTATTGGAAAACTTTTTTTCATTTTTTTCCTTCAAAAATACTTTTGGAAAAGACTTCCAAACAAACTTAGTTTACAAAATTATCATATAGCAAATTAATATAATTTCCTCTCCTATACCAAACATCTGAATCATAACAATAATATTGCTTGTGAGAATTTTCAGAGGAACTCACCCAACAATCAATAAAACAATAGAAACAATCCACAGAACATATTGGTAAGCCTTGTATTTTGACTTGAGGCGAACACCGGCTGGGAGACGCCGCTGCTCTAACCACCCAAATTGAGGGCGGAGCAGCAAAATAAAACCAAGAAGAAATCCTGTGAGGAATCCCCCAATATGAGCAAAGTTATCAACATGTGGCAACATTCCAATGGCGAGATTGATGACAATAATAAACAGGAGTGTGAACAAAGCAGCTGCCTACAAAATGCAGAGAAAGGGAGTTAGAAACTTATAAATGAATGTCAAATATATTATATAAGTATTAACCAGCCTAATAGATGGGAAAAGAAGAAAAGACTGAAAGTGATTAATTAGTGTGTGCAAAAAGTTGTGAATCTTAAAATTAAACAATCAGGATGTTTTCTGAATTCAGCGTTATAGCAAGCGAACAAAAAAAAAAAAGAAACCTATCAACTGTTCATGATGATTCTTGCAATAATTTGTCAAAAAAGTTTTGTAACATTAATCATTTTCCACTTCATGTTAAGGAATGAACGAGCATACTAATCAAAAATAGGATGGGAACTGATGACACTATACTCACCTTATTGGTATAAATACTCCAATTAGTAATAAGTTCTGAAAGCATTGCTCCAAGAAGTCCAAAAAGAGCACCAGAAGCACCAACAGAGATGTTGTTTCTAATAAATAGAGAAGACAGTACACTCCCTCCAAATCCAGACAATAGGTAAATGATTCCTATCCTCACTGCCAATATTTTTACAAAATGTCAGGCCATAACCATTTAAAACCAAAATTTGAAGAACACAGATAACAGAACTCAAAGAACAACACTTCCAGTTCCAAATGCATGACCAGGTCCACAGGTATAAAACTGAAACTCGAATGTTTTTATTCCTAATTTTGTGAATCACACACACATGACATTTCTTCAACTGACACAGGTGAGTTTAGTAGAAAAAAGAAAAACATACCAAACCCGAATTGTTGTTCAAGGCGAATGCCAATGAAAACCAGACTCAACATGTTTGCTGCCAAATGAACAACTCCAGCATGTAACCAAATGCAAGTGACAAGTCTCCATCCTTGATGATGATTCACGACATCATCCCATTGAAGTGCTCCCATCTTTATTAAGCTACAACAATGATCCAAAAATTAAATCAATACATAATTCATTTTTATTTTTTTGGAAAACTCTAGAACAACATATTTGACAAGAGTTTGCACAAAGAACATCGACTTAAACGATTGAAAAAACTAGCCCTTCACGGCTAGAAAATGGGTGTTTTATTTATTTGATCTTTTGCACTCAAGGGTAGAAGGATAATAAGGAAGAATTTAATTTATTACCAGCAAAAAACACCCAGACAAATAAAACATTTATGATTGTTCAATAAAAGGCAAATCTAATTATTCATTTATACATAGAATAAAATATACCTTAGGTTAGTCAAAATTAATTTTAGTAACATCGATTAGTTTGGTCTTCATAATTTTGAAGATAGCTGAATTCGGCCCCTCAACCTAGTATCCAAAGTTCCTTAATTTTGAAAATGTAGAGACTAATGGCCTGTTTGTAGAAGCATTTATCCATGAACTAATTTGTAAAAACTCTATTTTATTAACTTCTCCAAATTCATAAATTAATTAATTTAAAATTCTTTTATTAATTTTTCTAAAATTATAAATTAATTAACTTATAAATAAATTTATTTTGATTTTCCTTCGGAAGTCCAATCCAAATAGGCCCCAAGACCAATTTAGATGAAAAAAAAAATTGAAGGAGCTAAAATACATTTTACCCTTTAATTTGTGTATGTTGATATATCAAAAAAGAAAATTTGATCTCACTTAGCACCACCCAGTATCCACAAAAGAAGAAGCTCCAAGTGCTAGAGAATTAACATAAGCAGATCACAAGACATCAACACCCGATTCATGAAATTAACCTAATTGGAGGCAAAATGAAGAAGAAGAAGAAGAAGAAGAAGAAGAAGTAAATGAAAGAAAGACATAAGAAAAGTGAGGAATTAGGGTCTTACGTCCACGAAGAAGGCCCAAACAAGGGATTCTCCCTAAGGGGCTGGAAGGAGAAGCGACCCAGGAAGGTGGCAACACAGTCCCCTTGAAAGTTGAAATTTTTGCTGGGACAATTGTTGACATACATGGCCGCAACGAAAACGACAACGTTAACTGCCACAAAGAGAGGCACGAGCCACGATGTCCAATGGACTTGAGAATCGAAAACGTAGGACGTGGGAGCAGCAGAGTAGGTGATGTTGCTGTTCTTGGTTGCGCCACCACTTTCTAGATCTCTCCGCGACGACATCGTTTGAAAGACTCTGACTTGGGAGGTGAGAAGTCTCAAGTTTTCTTTCTACACAAAGGCAAAGGCAAAGGCAAAGAGGGCTTAAATCTGAGAATTGAGAAAGGAAAGTAATTGGAAGGTGGATGTCACCAAGTGGTGGAAGGAGACGTTACAACTTCGTAACTCTCGCTACAGCATTATTACCAACCTTAATTCCTTTTAATCATCTTTTTTTTACATTTTTTTTTCCAGGAATATCCATCGTCGTGACTAATCTCATCGCTATGTTAAAAATACTTCAAAGGTGGAATTAATTAGGATAGTATGCTCAAAAAATAAATTGTTCACTATCTTTAATAGAATTTCTAATTTTAATTACGATTTTTTTTACTCAAATAAACACTTCAATTTAATTATATGTTTTTATTTATAAAAGTTTAATTTAAAACTTTGTTTATGGATTTAAACTCATTATCACTATGAAATATGTTATATTGGTACATTAAATTAAATTTTTTTATGATGAATATTATTAACTTGAAAATTAAATTAAGAGTTTAACACATATTATTGATTAATTAAAATTGTATTTAATGTAAGTTTTAAAGCTATTATTATTTTTACAAAAAAAATATTATTATTATTATACAATTTATAGATTTATTATTACAGTCTATATGTAATTGGGTAGTTAAAAAATTATTTTAAGTTAAAAAATTGTTTTGACTCTTCTCAAATCAACAATTCATTTTGAGATATAAAATAATGAGAAAATGAAGTATCAGTATGGCTCGGTTCTTTTAAACAACCGAAAATAAGAAAATTTATGATCGATCTATGTAATAAGATCATTTTAAATATATTTTATTTGAAGTAGCATTACTTACACCAATAACTTATTAGTTAAGTATAACGTAGTAAGTATTTTAGAAGGTCATGAGTGATTTTATAGTCTAGAACGGGTCGTTTCCAAACTGGAATGAGCTGTTCCAAACTATTAAATTCACCTATAAATCCTAGACTGGAACAGGTCATTCTAAACGTGGTTGTTGTGAGTTAAATTCAACTCCAGAACGAGTCGTTCTAGACGTGCCAGAACGAGCCATTCTGGTTTTAGAACGAGTTGTTCTGCATGTGAATTTTACTCATGATGAAGGATCCCAGAACGGGCCGTTCCAGATTCAAAACAGGTCATTCTGGCCACTCCTGACCTTTATAAATAGGCGCTAAGGAGGGAGAGAAAGGGAAAGGAAGAGAGAGAAGTTTAGAGAGAAGGACTTGTCCGCTAGGAAGCTTGATTTTGAAGGATTGAAGTTCGGGAGTCAAACTCGGAGGAAAGTTTTTCTTATTCCCGAATTCTTAGCTGTTTGGAGCCAATATTCAGGTTAGGGAAGCTTTATGCATTGTGTTTTTTTGTTGAAATGGTTGAGTTGTTGGGTGCTTAAGTTGATTTATGTTGTTTACATTGTGTAAGTTGGCATGATAGATGAACTTTAAATATGTTGGTTGATTTGTAATTTGTGTCAAATATGTTGTATATTGTTGACGTTGTTTATAAAGTTGTTAAGTTGCCTGATGAAGATGAGTTGAGTAGTTGTTGGCTTAAGTTGTTTATAGGTTATGTGGTTGATGAAACTAAGTTGTTTACATGTTGTCTATCGTTGAATTATTAATAATTCGAGATGTATAAGTTGAAGTAGATTATTGTTGTAAAGTTGTTTAAAGTTGTTAAGTTGCATTAAGTTGATATTGTAATGATTATAGTTGTTCTAGTTGTTTAATTAAGTAGTATAAAGATGCCTATTGCCGTAAAGTTGAAAGTTGCCTTAAAGTTGTTAAAGTTGAGATTGATAACTATAGTTGCTTATTGTTGTAAAGATGTCTATTGTTGTAAAGTTGTTATGATGTTTATAGTTGTAAAGTTGTTATGATGCCTATAGTTGTAAAGTTGTAAAGTTGTCTATTGTCGTAAAGTTGTAAAGTTGCCTATTGTTGTAAAGTTGAAAAGTTGGGGACATATGGTGAAGATATATGTCCTATGTTGAGATACATAGTACTAATGAGATAATTTGAAAGTTGTTTTAAAGTTGAATCCCTTAGTACTATGTGGGCAACATGGAAGTAGTCGATCCATGTCATGGTTGAATGACCAATTTGAGTAAGGTATCTAGTTAGAGATTTAGTCTTTGATTAAGTACTATAGGGTGCGTGGTACTTGAAAAACAGTGGATAGGCTAACTCTATATGTGGATTGGTGATGCTAGCCAAGGCCGTGGTAGGCTCATACCCAAATCCTTCTGTCTTGACAGTAGTACTGGACCTCCGAGTCTAAGTGGTACACCCGAGTAATCGCTTATTATTATATATACCTGGTTCTCTTCAGAATTCCTAACGATGCCCTATACCTGACCTGGTTGAGATAGGTCAAACGTTGGATTCGGTAGGGTTTATGCCACCTAGACTACTCAACCTCAGTTGTTGGAGATCTCCTAGCTGTATATGCGTGACGACGCATTAGTTGATGTTGCATTAGTTTTTGCATTTAAGTTGTATATAATGTTGTATGAATGAGTTGATAGTTGAGCTATTGTGATAAATACTATGTGATTGTGTTATGATGAGTTATTGATCACTAGGATCAGAGGAGAAGTTTTCAAAGTTACTCATCCCATTGTGCGGATTGAGATAGTTGTGGTGCTTTGAGAGCCCAATTTGTTTAAAAACCCTCCTTGGAAAGTTGTCCCTTGGAGTGGATGATGTGTTGTTCTCCTCTAGGACTTGGTTGTTCCCGTGTGTGAGCAAGGTCGAGGCACACGTGTATGAAGCGACCACGGTATAGGGGTCAGACCGAGTTATACCGATTACAAGTGGCCAATTTGAATAAAGTGCGATGTGTTGAAAATGTTGTTGCTATTAGATGATATTGTGTATCTATTATTGTAGATGTTGTGTTGCTTTAAGTTGCAAGTTGAAAGTAGAATTCTATTGGTGTTTATTATATGTTGATGCTATTTTTTTATGATTATTGTTGTGAGCTTACCCTAGCATGTTTTCCCTATGTGGTTAGGACTACGATGACCATACCTTGGTATGCGAGCAGATCAGGATTAGGTGTTCTGCCGGACTGAGTGATCTTCTTTTTGGTTGGGACTCAGGAGGAGGGTTGATGTTGTATTTAGTTGATTGGTAGCTTTTTACTACCTAGTTGTTGTATAAGGTATTATTCCCTACTTTCTAGTTAAATTTTTAGAAATTATATTTTATTCTTTTTTTTTGTTAAAAAATTTATTCTAAACTAGCATTTTTAGCATGTAGATTTTATAGGCTAAACATTTATTATATATAACTAAAATTTATAATAAAAATATATATAAAAATATATATATATTGAAATATATAAATTATATTTTATATTTATATAAATAAATATTTTTAAACATATAAATTATATTTTAAATTTAAGATAAATAATTTATATTGTAACATAAGAATTTTTTAATTATTGATGATTTATTTTAAGAATATTAAATTTTAATTCAAAATAAATATGATAAATAATAAATTAAATTAAATAAGTTAAAAATATATAAAATTTGATTAACCAGTAAAATTAGTTGCATATAATAATGTTAAAAAATTTCTAAAATATGTCTAACTAGAAAATTAAATTAATACGCGTGTGTATAAAATTAAAAAAAAAAAACAGATTAATAGTTTTTTGATTTTTGATGATAAAAAACAAATTTACAGGTAAGAAAATATTTTTTAGTGAATAAGTTAATATTTAGCGTGTTTGTTTCAAAATGGATGAAAGGCAGCATTAAGAGAAAGAATCTTTGATTTTGAATGATAAAAAAAACAAAATTATAGGTAAAAGAATATTTTTGAAGTAAAAATAAGTCAATATTTTGCGTGTTTACGTGAAAATGAATGAAAGCGAAAATTAAAAGAAATGCGTGAGATTGTGTCCCACCCTTACAAGCCTTGGAATGACGCTTCACGCGGAAACTGCCAACGAGTCTTTGTCTTTGTCGGGTGAGGATATCACGTGAAAAACACGTGATCTTTAAAATGTTTACATAATTGTCGGTATTTATCCTATCACGTGGCGCCTTCTAATTGGCTCCATCGTGTAGTTGTAGTGGTAATTGGAACAGTGGATTGTGGCCGCGGCACGCGGTGTTTCGCTTTCGGGCAAAGCCTCGTTGTTGTTGGGATAATTTCATCTGTTTCTTCATCCGTTGACCATTGTTGACCATTGTTTTAACTTTGAGTGATGCTATCTACTTTTTTTTTTTTTTTTTAGAAATGTTATGTGATATTCCATATAAGATCACCTAATTCGCCCACAGAGATAGAAGAATCATACTAGTATCAATTTTCTTTTCAAAATACGACATATCATTTTTTTATGACTAATTTTTATTGAAAAAATTGATCAACTATTTTTTTATTTTATAAAGTCTCTTCATTTAAATATATTTTTCTATTCTCTAAACTCAATTTTTAGATCCTATTTTAAAAATATTGAACTCAATTTTATTCAAACTACCTGTAAGGATATGTGAATATTTTTTCATAAACTCCTTTTAAAATAAATAATAATAAAATAAAATAATTTTTTTAAATAAGTTAAAATTAAGTTATTTATAAATTTATATATATATATATATATATATACTAGATAAGCTGATATAATAAAATTACAAATTGACTTATATCCAAACTAATTTTAATTTTTAGATAAATTAACTTGTTTTATTTTCTCTTTGTATTTTCTTCATTTATAAATATTAGTATTTTAGTCTCTATATTGTACAATGTACAAACATATTTATTATATATAATTAAAATTTATAATCAATTATGTATATAAATATATATTATGTTTGAATATATAAATTATAATCAAAATTAATATACATAAATATTTTTAAGAATATAAATTAATAAATTATATTTTAAATTTACAATAAATAATTTATATTATATCAATATTATTATTTAATTCATAAATAATTATAATAAATAAAATCAAATTAGATAAAAAATAATAATTTTTTTACAAATTCTCTAATTAAAAAAATTCTTACAAATACTTTCATACAATATAGAAATTCATATTTAATATATAAAAATCAATTTAAAACAATATTTGATTATAATT